CGGATTTTCAATAATGCGGAAAACGTTCCTGAAAATCACAGGAATTCTACGCGCATCATTGCCAATGATGCGCACAGTTCGGTTTGCCGAGTCGAATGCCTTGCGTTCTGCACTAGCCGCCTGAAACTGATGTCATGCTTTTGCAAGATAGACGATAGAGGTCTGTAGTTTCGTACAACCAGCTGAATATACCTCCTCGCTAAGGAGTTGCGATGGCATCCGAGCGATATTTTCTTTTGGCTGGAATTCGATTGTATCGACTTTTCAAGATTTCGAGATTCGGTATTCCGACCGATCTTCAAAATCCTTTCGTCGGATTTTGCCGACCGAACCTCAGCCGGTTACTATCACTACAAGTGAAGAAGAATAAGATGAGTCAGTTGTTAGCTGGCTCATGTGAAGACCACGAACCTGCACCAGTGACGCTTTGAATGATTCAGGATATTTGAGTGATTCTGGTCGTTTTGTACTGTCATATATTGAGAAATCCTTCTTGTTTGATATCAGCATCAACTTTCCCAGGTCAACAACGCTCATCAGCATGCTCTTAGAAAAGCTCGCCAGAAAGAGACTAATACCGCTGTAGACTTTCACTTCTGACATCAGTTTTTCGTTCAATTTTATTCGTTCGATTTCTTTGCACCTGTCCATCGTTTGCTGCAAAAATAAACGCAACATTTCGCAACCCTTCAAATTGGAGTTTTAAAATCACCTGTTCAATCAACCACAATTGATGATTCATTTGTTTAGCTGAATATTTTGCAGCAATTATTTCTCGTAGCATGTAATGCCGATGTTTTTGCGTTTGGATTTGCGAACCTTCTCTATTTATNTGCTTTTGGAATACCGAAAGTCATCGATAGTATCCTGTATTTGAACAATACCAAAAGTTAAACGTGGGCATGTATTAGGAATAGTGTCATTTCTAATGCACACGTTTGGCGAAATTTTATATTTCACTCTTCAACGGTTTTGTTCTATTAATTCTGCTCTGTTCCACCCGTTTTTGGGAACAGTTCTATTCTATTCCATTCTGTTCTGCTATTCAAAGTGTTCTATTCTATTGCCTTAGTCGGAAAAACAGCACGATGAAATTAGTGATAATTAGGGCTGGAAACGTGTTTTTTTTTGGCAATTTTAGCGCAAAACGTAGAAGAACTGGGGTAGGTGAAGGTTGTCCACCCAGGGAGTTGACAATTTTTGTGGTGACGAGAGGGTTCATGGCTTTGTTAGTCAGCTTCCTTGAAGAACAGAGGTGCTGTAATCTTCAACCTTTGGATGCAAGCTGGTTATGACGAATTCGATTCTGGACTTTAAACATTCCACCTATTCAAACGACTCCATACGAGCTTACCCGCCACTGTTGGCATGCCCGACTGATTTCGAATGTCACATCGAACGCATATCTCTAACGC